TATATATATTTTATTATTTTTATTTTATGTATATGAGTGTTTTGCCTGCATGCATGTAAGTGTAGGACATGTGCACAATACACTGCAGAGACCAGAAGAGGGTATCAGATCCTTTGGGACTGGAGTTACAGATGGTTGTTAACTGCTTTATGGGTGCTGGGAATCGAACTTGGGTCCTCTGGAAGAACAGCAAATGTTTGTAAACGCTGAACCATCTCTCCAGCCCCAGTGAAACAATTTTTAAAAATTAAACACATCCTGGAGCTGGAAAGCACAAAAATGACATGAAAATGGGGTCAAAAGCATCAATAGCAGAATCTATTAAACAGAGAAGTCAGTGAACTTGAAGTCAGGCTATTTCTAAACACTTAGGGAAAAAAGAAAAATGAAGAGGAATGAAGAAAGCTTATGGGAATTTAAGAACAATATTAAAAAAACCAAATACTCGGGATTTTGGGTTTCAAGAAGGATTCAAGAATCCCAAAGGGTAAAAAGGTTATTTAAAAACTAACACAAATGGGGGTGAATGCAGAGACTCATGGCTGCTCAAGTGCTCAGAGGAAGTGACAGTTGAGTGCCCAGCTCTAAATAGGACATTTATATGACCCCCTTTAAGACACAGGGAACATATGGAAGAGGTGACAAAGAATGCAAGAGCTGGAAAACAGAGAGAACACAGCCAATACAATCATGATCTTACAGCAGCTGCTGCTGCCTGCACTGGCCTGTATAAGACAGGGCCTCTCATTAGTTAAACATGGATTGGAGAGGGACTTAACTGAACTGTTGGCTACTGGTGGATTCTGGGAAAGGGATGGTCACTGTCTTCAGTTGTGTACACACAGGTGAGATCACCAGGCTCCAATGGAGGTTCCAAACCCGTGAACACACAGATGACCCTGGCTGAACTCAATGGGTCATGAAACAAAACAAAAGAACAAGGATGTGAGAAGGTGATTTGTAGGAAAGAGGAGAGGTTGACAGAAGTGGGAGATGTGACAGGGGGGGACAAGGAGAGTAACCAGAATGCACTGCATACATGTAGGAGATTGTCAGAGAATAAATTTAGTAAAAATTACAATAAATACTATACAAAATGTATAGATATATTTATGTATTTCTTAAAAAAATAACAAAACTTTCTAGATCTAGAGAAGGATACAGGGAGGCTGAAAGTTACTGATCAGATGCAATTTAACAAAATGTACCTTAAGATGTGTTACAATCAAGTTCTGCAAGGTTAAAGACAAAGAGAGACAGTATCAAGAGAAAAGATGGAGGAGGGAGAGGAGGAGGGGAGGAGGGAGGAGGAGGAATATATAAGAGTGTTCCAATTGACCTAACAGCAGACTTCTCAGGAGAAAACTTACATGCTAGGAGGCAGTAGCATCATCTATTCACAGGGCACAAAGAAAAAACAAAAGCAAAAGCCAACTAAGAGTGATGTGCCTAGCAAAGCAATCTTTCAGAAACGGACACAGAAGAATATTTTCAAACAAAAGCTGAGAGAACTGATCACCACTTAGACCCATCTTACAAGAACTACTACAGGGAATTCTTCAATTGCAAAGAAAAAGAAATGAATAAGAATATACTGGAAGATATTAAACTCACTGCTAAAAATTAAGTATTGAGAGGGGCTGGAGAGATGGCTCAGCAGTTAGGAGCACTGGCTGCTCTTGCAGATGACCTGGGTTCAGTTCCCAGGACCCACATGGCAGCTAGCAATCATCTTTAACTCCAGTTCCAAGGGATCCAACCCTTCTGACCTTTTTTGGGCATTGCATGAATGTAAAATAAAAATAATATTAAAAAGTAAGTATTGGGAAACATTTGGTATTCTCTAATATCTGTAACTACAATACTCCAAACAGTTTTATCTTTAGTATGAAAATTAAAAATATAATAATCACAAAACTGACAACACAGACTCTTGATAGGCTGACCAGGCATGGACCCACACTGAAGGACATTTGGACACACAAATCAGACTCTCTCTATACATAATAGAGTAGATTAAACTGGGTGGGGGCAGTAAGGGGAGGTGTGGCTAGGGGAGAGGACCTAGATATCCTCACATCATATTGTATGAAACTCATAAAAATTCAATGAAAAACTGACACATTGATATTTTAAGAGATAAGCAATATGAAAACAAAATGCAACATAAAATTTAAATGTACGAAAGAATAGAGAACACAAGTTGCTTTTCTTTCTTTAATGCTTGTGATCAAAAATTCAATTGCTATCATTCTAAATGATGTGTAATAACCAAAAGATGTTATTTTGTAAATCTCATAGTAAGTACAGAGAAACTCTACAGGCACACAGTAAGCTGAGTCCAAACACTGCTAGGGAAACTCACAACCATGAAAGAAGATTGAAAGATAGAAGGAACTACAAAATCTAGAGAATAAA